TCATCTGACCAGAAATGCCTTTTGTGTGGCCTGATATGAGCAAGAGTAAAATCTTCCAGGATAAGCTATTAATGATTGGGATTAGGAATTTTATCGTGGACAAAATTGCCCTATCTCTCAGATAGGGGCACATAAACAGTCCCTAATCACAGATTAAAGAAAAGTGGAATTCCCAACAGATAACTGCACACGTCAAAGAAACAAGCAGAACAAACTGAAGTAAGAGGTCAGAGTTACCTGTGGTCTGGTTGGAGGAGGCGGTCCACTGAGGGGACCAAAGCAAGCTTTGCCTCCTTCAAGTTTCAGGTGTCTCTTCTTGTGTCCCAGTGCTGAGAAAGCGACTAAGACAAGCTCCTTGGAGAGTCACTGATATGAGTCAACACCGAAAGGCTGAAGAAACTAGAGTCTTATATCCACAGGAAACAACAGCAGCAAAATATGCAGCCACTGAAACAGAATGTAGCTTTTCAGCACTACACGCCAGCTTCTTTCCTCTTTCCTTTTTATTCCATCCAGGCTACAAGCACATGGTTGGTGCCACCAACAATGAGATGGGTGGCCCTCCTCAGTCTGCTAGTCTACTGCCAGCCACCTCTTGAAACACAAAGCAGACCGGCCTAGAATTGTGCTTTGCTCGTGTGCTTTCTAATCTAGTAGAATGGACATACCACAGTTAGCAGTCACAATCCACCCCTTGTTGACTTGACAACCAGATATGTCTCCTTAAACCATATTTAATTTACAAAAAGACAGTAGCAAGTTCATAATTGCACCTCACGTAATACAACTATCCTGTGTACAACTGGAATTGCACTAATTCCTCCCCTGTACAGAAGAAAAGTTTTCCTTCAGCAATGGTTACACTTCCCCTGGCATTATGTAACTTTAATGTAGATTTAACAATACTTAAGTGCTGCTATTAAATCAATCAATGTTATGTTACATGGTGTAAGAATACAAAGACAGAAAACAAAGATATCTGCATAACGTGTGTTTATATGTGCAAACATGCTAAAATAGGAAAGAAATATTCTTGACAATTACAATACTCACTCTGTAGCTGGTCACATGGTCATGGTTGGTGTTTATAACTACCTTCTTATACCACTCATTATGTATTTCTATGACATCCAGCAAGCACCTCAGCAGATCGGTTCTTTGCCTCACTGGGTCAGCCATATACTCATTCCTGAAGGGTCTTGACCATTTGTCATTTGCCTGGATTGAGCTGTTGTAGTTTCCCACTGACCTTAAGAGCAGGGCACAGTAAAACTAGGAGATGCTCCAAGAGATCTCCTACACTCCAAACGTACTCTTCCTTACCTCCACTGTGGAGTGGTAGTCCAATTCCTCCCATGGTAGTCTGAGCCAATTACCCCCGCCCCGACCAAAACTCCTGTTACAGCCTATTTACTCAGCCTTTGGGGTCATGAGAACCCTAAAATGGCAAGAGGGATGCCTTAACTTACAGTTCAATAGAATCATTGATATGCCTATGGTAGAAGCCCTTTCCCTCTGAACTAAGACTTCTAGGCCAGCTGGGGAAAAGGTTGCAAGATCAGGAAACAAAAAAAAGTGCTAGTGGGTTACTAAGGATGATGGTGAGTAGTGCCATTTCCATTTCCATCGCTTGACTCCTGGCCTCTTGACTCCTGGCTATGGGAGAAGCAGTACCAAATATTAGACACTGATTCAGAGCATATACAGCCTTCCAGGGACCATTTCCACAGACCTAGCTTGACAGGTATTGTTATTGAGCTACCACCATAAATGCATCTTTGAAAGGCCATCACACTGTTCGATCCATCCAGCTGCTTCTGGATGGTGGGGGCCATGGTTAGGCCAATGAATTCTATGAGCATGAGGTGACTGCTGCACTTCTTGGGCCATGAAGTGGGTTTGTTGGTCAGGGGTAGGCTGTGTAGAATACCTTGGTAGTGGATGAGGCATTCTGTAAGTCCATAAGTGATAGCTTTGGCAGAAGCATTAGGTGCAGGGAAAGCAAATTCTGTCCCTTCCATGAAGGAAATAGTCCAATAGAATCAACCTGCCACCAAGTCATGGGCCCATGACTCCAGGAATGATGACATACCGGGGACTCGGGGCTGGTCTCTGCCACTGACAGGTTGGGAACTCAGCAATGGCTATAGCCAGGTCATCCTTGGTGAATGGAAATCAGTGCTGCTGAGCCCAAAGTTGCTACCATGGCCACTTTGTTCATGAGAACATTAAGCAACAACAGGGGTGGCTGAGGAAAGAAGTTGACATCCACAGAATAAGTCACCCTACTCACTTGAGAATTAAGCTCTTCTTGCACTGAGGTCACCTTTGGGAAAATATTTCCATGTTTCCCTTCTCCCATGTGGAAGTCTGTCTTCATCCTCTACCACAAGCACCTTAGTCACCAATTTTCTAGCTGCTTTCCTCCCACGTCCCTGAGCGTCAAACCAGATCATCAGTTATAGCCCACACTGTGGTGTACTTGCCCACAGAGAGCCATTTTCTTCTGCCAAGCACAATGTGTGATCAGGTTTACTGCCTGACATTCTTCCCGCTGTGAAGATCTCTCTTCGCCACTATCCTTCCGGGGTGCCCTGGAAAGCATCTACAGTGCTAAAGCTGTCTACCTCTGAGTGGTGCCTGCGTAACATGCAGAAACATCTGTAACCCAGGACTCAATCTTCTCTTCCTCTGTTAAATGCCCACAGAGTACACACCATGAGGTCATGGGCGCATGCTGGGAGACAGGAGGCAGTTAGGGACCATGGGCATTTGGGCCACTGTTCATGTGCCTTCAGGACCTGTTCAGTCCAGTTATGTCTATACTCCTTCCACTGATGATGGATTGTTCCTGTGCACGTCTCACTTTATGACTCAGTGGGTCAGATAATACCTCGTTCATGAGGAGCATCTCAGGTCACATGGTAATGTGATGTCCCATGTTCAAGTATTCACTTTACACTAAGGTCAAAGGCCAAGCAAGTTGTTGTTTCTAAATCATGGCAGAACCTTGCTGCAAAACCTAAGCCCCTCCTCTGTAATCCACCTGTAGGGACCTGCCAGAAGCTGCAAACAGCATCGCTATCTGCCTCAAATGCCACTGCATTTGCTCCGTCATGTGGTCCAGTGACATAGCAACCTGCCCTGCAGACTGGACCCGTTCAAAGAGCTTTCTTGTGTTCTGGGCCCCACTCAAAGCCATCGCTTTCTCAGTCACTTGATATGCAGGCTTGGGTAACACACCCAAGTGAGGAATGCGTTGCCCCCAAAATCCAAATAGGCTCATCGGGTGGTGGGCCTCTTTCTTTGCTGTAGGAGGGGCCAGGTGCAACAACTTACCCATCACCTTAGAAGAGATCTCTCTGCATGCCCCACACTACTGGACTCCTAGAAATTGCACTGAGGTGACTGAGGTAGAGTGGCTTTGAATTTTAGTTGGATTTATTTCCGATCCTCTGACACACAATGACTTTACCAACAAGTATAGAGTAATGGCTACTTCTTGCTGACTTGGTCCAATGAGCATGACATCATCAATGTAATGAACCAGTGAGAACCCCGTAGAAGGAAAAGGTACTCAAAGTCCCTGCAAACTAAGTTGTCCCACAGGGAAGGAGAGTCAATAATGCCCCTGGGGTAGAATGGTAAAGGTGTATTTTTGGTCATCGCAGCTGTAAGAAAATTGATTTTTGTGGGCCTTGAAAGGTATGAAGAAAAAGACAGTTGCCAAATCAGTAGCTGCACACCAGTTACTGGGAGATGTGCTAATCTGCTCATGTAAGAAAACTGCATCTGGTTCAGCAGCTGCAACTGGAGCCGCCACGTGATTAATTTACAGAAATCCACCGTCACTCTGCACAGAACAAAGGGGAGAGTTACATAGGGGTGGGGAGGAAACCACAACCCCTGCATCTTTCAAGGCTTTGGTGGTGCCCTAAATCCTGCAATTCTTCCAAGAATGTGATATTATTTTGTATTTATTGTTTACTTGGATAAAGGCAGCTCTAGTGCGTTCATTCAGCCTTTCCCACCGTAAAAGCCCTCTCATATCACAGATTAGGGAACCAACATGGAGATTCTACCAAGTACTGAGTATCTATTCCATTCTGAAACCAGGGAAAGAACCACAGGACAGATTTGGGGACACACTGAACCCACTGTGAGCCAGACCTGGGCTAAAACTCCAGTGCTCTTCTGACACCCAGAGGCCCTGCTCTTGCTGGAGGGCCACAAGGTTCCAAAAACCTTGGAATCAACTTTGGTCAGAAGGAGTGTCCAGCAGTCCCTGAAATGTCTGATCAGTTCCTTTTATGCAATGTGTGGTTGCCCTGGTGGGCCATAGGCCCTCTTGGGGAAGGATAGGGAAAGATTAACAGTGTAACTCTGATAGTGCATCTAAGTCCATCCTCAATGGGGATCTGGCCTCTCTTTCATTCAATGGCTTCTGTGTCCATAAACTGGGTGAAATCTGGAATTTGGCTGAGGAACTGTGAATCTCTGTGGCTATAATTTAAGATAGATTTTTGTTCATGTGCCCTACAAGTTTTCTGCTTATATAAATCCAGTAAAACTTTAGGAGGTGTTCTACTTATTTCACCTCTGGAAATACAATGGTTATTAGCCAATCCCATGGGTCCACCTGAGTCAGACCATTGTGAGCATTGCTTTGCCTCTGCTGTCCTTTACAGTCAGGACACTTCGCCTTGCCTTAGCTGTTGAGCACTGACACTTGGCCCTTGCCTCTCTCGGACCCAATATATTCAGCACATTTATGTTTCTCAATGAAGTGACAGTGGTCCCCACCCTAAGAGGGTCTGGCATACAGAGAACAGCGATGACAGAGCCCTTCAAATATGTTTCTTGAGGTATTAGCGAAGGGTACATTTTCTGGGCCCTCCCAGTATGGAGTAGGGTTAACCTGGCAAATCCACTCCAACATTCCCATCTCCTTGGGCTTTGAACGACCTCATCAAGAGTAAAACAAGGAATAGCATCATCACCTGCAGCTCAGTCACAGCGGGTCATCTTCTGATCCATATTTCAGCCAACCAACCAAATGGACTAAGCACCGTTTTAAATTCCACAATCTGCAACATTAAATTCATAATCACTGATTAATGGACCCAAGTCGAGTAATTCAGCCTGATCCTGGTTTGTTTCTTCTACCATTCTCCATTCCCACACAAAATAATCTTATCAGAATTTGGGAATTCCGTGTCCCCACCCTCATCAGGTTCCTCCCATTTGCCTACAATCCAGTTTAAGCACCCTCATTTAAACCGCTGATAACCTTGCAGGATGATATTTAAACTCATGCTGTAATTCCACCAACTGAATGCTGACACTTGTGTTTGGTTTTTAGCAAGCTTAGGCCCACAGCTTCAGAGCAAAAGATTCTCCTTCAGCCCACACTTAGAAGCAGTCAGTTGTGGGGGTTTTTTTGTATATCCTTTTATTGGTACATTTTAGGTGTACAATATAATGACATTCATCATTGGAAATTTGCACTTGTGCATAATCCATCTTGGTTCTTATTTTTTCCCCCTTCCCCTGCCCCCCTTCAACCCCTCCATCCCTCCCTATTTACAAAGACTTTGTTTCCATTTTTTCATTTTCTCATATTAATTCCATTCCTTTCTTTCCTTTCACCTACCCCTCCCAATTCCCCCTCCCCTTTGCCCCTTTTCTTCCTATTTCACATTATCTATTATACCTTTTAGTCCTTATTTACTGTTTCTCACACTAGAGAAACTACTTGGTATTTACACATGTGTGTCCTATTTCACTTACGAGTATTCAATGTGGATCCATTTAGCTATAGATGTCTCTAATTTCTCATTTTTTATGGCTGAGTAGTACTCCATTTTATTTTTTAAAACCCATATTTTCTTTATCCAGTCTCCAGTTGATGGGCATTTGGGCTGCTTCCAAGTTTTAGCTATTATAAATTGTGCTATGAACATGGGTGCACATATATTGCTGTGGTATGATTCTTATAATTCTTTGGGGAAGATCCCCAGCAGTGGAATAGCAGGGTCAAATGGGACTTCCAGTACTAGTTCTTTGAGCTATCTCCATACTGATTTCCACAGTGGTTGCACCAGTGTACACTCCCACCAGCAGTGAAGCAGTGTTCCTCTTTCCCCACAACCCCGCCAGCATTTGTTATTGGCTGATTTCATGATAGCAGCCATTCTTTCTGGGGTGAGGTGGAATCTCAGTGTTGTTTTCATTTGCATCTCTAGAATGACCAGTAATGTTGAACAGTTCATCATGTATTTATTTGCCATTTCTACTCCTTTGAGAAATGTCTGCTCATTTCAGATGCCCATTTTTGGATTGGGTCTTTAAATCTGGGAGGTCTGATTTTTTTTAAGTTCTGTATAGATTCGAGATAGTAGACCTTTGTCTGAGAAACAGCAGGTGAAGTTTTCCCACATTGTGGGTTGTCTCTTCACACTGTTGGTGGTTTCTCTTGCTGTGCAGAAGCTTTTTAATAAGAAGAGATCTCACTTGTTGATTGTGCTAGTTCACAGGCAACTGAGGTTTTGTTCATAAAATCTTTTCCTACACCAATGTCTTTAAGAGTTCTACCTAACTTCTGTTCCAGGCAATTCAGCGTTTCTATTTTAATATTTAGATCCTAATCCATTTCGATTTTAGTTTAGTGCAAGTTTAGTTTAAGGGCATTTTAGAACCACAAACAGGCTCTAAACATTGTACTTGAGAATGAAAATTCTCATCAGCATGGTCTCCCCATGTAAAAAAAAAATTCTAATTGGTTTTATCTCTCAAAACAAAAAGTTTATTGGGGAAACATAGAAAACACACCCTGCCTCCCTAGGACACTGTGTGGATCTACACCCTTCGGTGTAAATACACAACTCAGAAAAACAAGACAGCGGGAGCCCCCAGCACATGGTGAAGAAAGCAACATTACACAAACACAAAAGGCCTCTGACAAATGCATCTATGAGAAAATAATAAAATGCTGTGGAAGAAGATCAGACAAAAGAAAGAACTTATTAGCCACTTAATAATTATTGGCAAAATTTTAAAATAAAACCTGCAAGACGAATTTGCATTAAGTACCAAAGACTAAGAAATGGAAGGGATGAGAAACAACATAAAAAAGTATTGATGATACACTCAAAAATTTTCTCAATACAGGAGTTTCAAAAAAGAGGACAGAATAAAATTAGGAGAAGAGATTATCAAAGAAATATGAATGAAATGTTCCCAAAGATAAAGGAATATATAATTTCTGAATTGAAGAGCTTATCCAATGCCAAGAAAACAAGAGAATGAAATAAGATTAACATGTATACACACCTTCAGGAAAATTCAGAACACAAAATAAAAAGGAGAGATTCTAAATTTTCTAAAGGGAAAGCAAACATGGGGTCTTCTACAAAGGCAGGTAAATTTGTCTGGCTTTAGACTTTTCTTCTCCAAGTATGACTTACAGAAAATCATAGAAAAAAGAAAAGTTAAAAAAAAAAAAAGAAAAAAGAAAAGTTCTTAAGGAAAATACTGAAGTTAGAATCCATGTGAGTGGATAAATCACTCAGGTAAATGTAAGATCATGGTATTTTTCAACACAAAAAAGGTAGAAATTTTTATTTCTATATATCTTCCCTAAAGAAAGAGAGTGTCCTTTCACCAATTTGGTAGGAAATTCATAACAAGGAAGACATCATGGAGAAAAGCAGTTACCTGGCCTTTCTCGGGGCAGAGAATTTACTATGTCCTGACCAATACTGACTGCATGACCCCTTCAATCCAAATGTGGACCTCTTTGCCAGTAGAAAGCAAGCAGAAGTCTCTCCCAGGATGAGCAAGTACACATCTTGGTTCTCTTCTCCCTTCCTGTGACTAGAGTTCCCTAAGACACAGGAACTAAAGGAACCATCAGAGACAGGCAAAGCCCAAGTCCTGAGCAGTGATAAAGGAGGAAGGGAAGGAAGGCAGGCAGGAAGGAAGGGAGGCAGGCAGATCCCTTACTGGCCAGAAATATCCTTAGTGTGCTATGGCTTTTCTATTAAACCGCTCTGTTTATGAGTCCATGTTTGTGGTACATAGTGGTCACATCCCCCGGGGGAGTTCGTACATGTACAAACACATCATAATTCTTTTTTCACTCCCTTCCCCATCCCTGCCTCCTCCCTCTATCTCTTGATCCATTTTCCTTTTGCAAAAGATCTAGCTCCCTATTTCCTAGTATCTATCTTTTATTTTGCTCTTCACATACATTTTGGGCTACTCATAAAAGAGAACTCAGCAGTTGCGTTAGGAGAAGTGAGTCCCAGGAGTTACCAGACTGCTGCCCTGATGTGACAGGAGTCACACATCTCCTGCAAAACTGAACCTGAAACCAGCCAAGCCCCTGGGTCTAAGCACTAATTTATAGGTAACACAGGACAGGAAGAACCCAGTGAAAAGACTTCTCATGGAAGCACTCGGTCCCGTCCAGAATGTGAGACATTCTAAAGAAAAATGACCTACTTTCTCCCACAAATCCACAGCACAGGAACAATCTAAGAAAGACAAGAGCAGAAACCAGAGTGTGGGCTCATCTGTGTCCCTACTGAGCCCTCTTGCAAGCCTCCATGGGGCCTGGTCATTTCTACTTAGTGACCAGGGGTCCAGCTCTGCATTCCACCATGCAGGGTTAGATGGTGGCCATGGTGTAACACACGGCTGGAAACGATTTTCTCTAAGGGACCCAATGATAAATATTTTCAATTTTGCAAGTCACACAGGTCTGTGAGCCCTGCCCAGTGCTGCCACTGCACAGTAAAAGAATCCAGAGACGACACCTGAGGGGTGGAGGGCTGTGCTCCAGCTATGTCGATGGACGGCAGTGGGCAGTGGCCAGACTCGGCCTGGGGTCAGTGTTACCACTCTGCTTCCCTGGACAGAGCTGAGTCTGTCCGGCACTTCAGACGAGAACTCACCTGGGTGTGGAAGGCAGCCGTAAACTCCCCATACCGACCCTTGACCTGTTTTCCACATACGACTCCAACCTTGGGTGGCCATAAACACATTTTTGTTTGGAACTGAATCTATCAAGTACGTCCAGCACCATTTTGATTCCTGCCACTGTTTCAGTCCATGCTGGTCACTGTGGTCTCATGCTGATGGGCTCCTTGCCCTGCAGGCAGAGCACGAAACCCCCCCCCCTTCAGAAGCAGCACCCGTGAGAACCCACCAGCCTTCCTGACCCCGTAAAGCACCTGACCCTCCATGACCCGAGGGGGATAAGGGGTGTCCCTTATCGCCAGGTGACTAAGCAGGCACCGATCATTCTATTAGTCATCGCCTCCAGCACCTGGAGGAGGAGGCAGAGCCTCCCACCGTGGAAGGGCAGATGGCTTTTCTGCAGGAAAGAGCAGCCTGCTCCACCCCGAGGCCAGCTCAGTGGGGGAACCCACGCAGCTCCCCCAGCCTCCCCAGTCCCTGGCCCCATCACACCTTGCTGCTCAGCTGCAGGCCCTGCCTCAGAGCCTGTCTCACGGCCAGGTGCCGAGCGCAGCTCCAGGAAAAGCCCCCCAGATACCCACACGGGACGCTCTCGAGGCCAATGGGGTCCCCTGCGGGGTCCAGCGGTGTCAGGCCAGGCAGGTGGGTGGGGCCACCCCCCACACCGGGCCTCAATCTGGTAGAGACCAGATGCACAGGAAGTCTGTGAAGGGCACTGCTACCCCGAGTTTCCAGGGTTTGCTTGTGGCTTTTGGTTTTGCCGGGTCCTGAAAATCAGACTGGATAAAGAAGCATGGCAATACTTGTTAGAATCCGTCCCCAGCGTAAACCTTAAGCCATGCCTGACTTGCCTGGCCTTTTCCTGACAAGTTCGAGCAGGCCTTCCTTCAGAAAGGGGCCCCAAAGAGAGCTCTTGCGGCCCCGCCCCAGCGCCCCAGGTGGGACACTACTGCTGTCAGCAGGCACTAAACTTGGGGCTCCCCCGCCCCATCCTCTGGCCCACACTGCTGGGGGATCGGGACATGCTAGGTTTGGAAGCACAGTGCAACCGCAAATACGCTAACCTGCGCCTGGCGCTTGGGCACTGCAGACCGCGCCTGGATTGGTGGGCTGCAGGCCCACCTTTAAGCAAGTCTTCCCGGCACTCAGGCAGCAGTCCTGGGACCCTCACTGGGCTCTAACGACGGCCCCTGGGAAGAGCTTGCTCCTCCCCTGACGCCCAGAGGTGTTCAGCCCAGAGCACTGCACTGGAGCCCTGCTGGGCTTCTCCCTGGAGGTGTGAATTCGGAGCTGCCCCTCAGCCCGAGGTCGTCACTTTCTTCACACTCCTTTGCACGCACACTCACACCTATGCTTGGAATCCCTCCTGGATGTGTTTCCTCCGTGAATTACTCTTACATTGCAGGACTTGGCTTCCTGGATGTTTTTTGCCCAAATATTCAAGTATTTGATTGTATTCCCCCCGTAAACCACCAAATCATCATCCCTGCCCTGCCACAGGTGAGCCACTCCGTGTCTCTTCACAGCAGACTTGCCACGCACTAAACGGGGACAAATTCAGCCCCTTTGTGCAAGTAGAGGCAGTTTGTTACAGCAGCAAGAGGAGGCAGGCCCTGCGGCCATTCACCCTGTGGCCCTTCGCCCTGCAGGCTCTGTGCCTCTGCTGGGTGTCATGAAGGTCATTCGGGCTGGAAAAGCTGCAAAACTGAAGATCCAGTACAACCGGAAGGAAAGCAGTGCTGCTACCCTGCCGGGTGGAGAAACAGGTGGGGGTGATGCGGACTTTGGGACACAGACAGGGGAGCGATCGCTGCCCTCCAGCCTGTGGGGGCTCCTGACCCTGAAGACAGAGCGTGCAGCCAAGGCCATGCCTGAGAGCAGCAAGTGCCCGTCTCAGCCCGAAGGGAAGGACCAGCCGTGCAGGGAGCGGGGGTGGGGAGATGGCTCTGCAGAGCCCAGGGTGGAGGGTGGTGACAGACGAACAGCAGCCGGACCCGGCGACCGCCACATTTTCACACGAGTACTTCTGCCTGGGCCGAGGCCTCAGCCCGTCTGTCCCTCTCACAGCTCCCTGCTTTCCTCCTCTCCTGTCGTCGGTAGGTACCCTCCTCGCCCCATTCAATCCTCTAACCTCTCAGTCCTCCTCCCAGCGTGACCCAGCCCCAGTGCAGGGCGCATTAAAACCCAGGTGGTGCAGGGCACCCGATGCTGGCCTCCCTCCGGGCTGGCCGCTTAACTCCTCTGCTCCTTGGCATTCTCTAGTACCTAAAAGTGAGTGACTATTTTACCTCCAGCGCTGGGTGAGGAGGAAGTGAGATGTAACTTACTGACAGCGTTAATTTAGCCCAATTCCTGACACACACACACGACTGGAGGTTGACTAATGGGAGTCTCCTCTCGCCTGCTCTGCCCACTCTTGGATGCACAGGGGTGGCAGGGCCTCATCAGCTCGCCCAGCTGGTTGGGGGAAAGGGCCTGAGCAGAATGTGACAGCTAGGCGCCTCCACGGGGGCAAAGTTTGGGAGAACAGAATAAACAGCTGGGTGCAGTAAGGCTGCTCCCCCCTCTGTAGTGCAGTAAGTTGCTTCTCTACCCTGTGTTCTTTTCAGCAGACCAAACGTGAGACCCTAATAAACCCCAGAAGCAGGATCTCTGCACAATATGGGGAAATTACTACCAAGAAGAAAATACTAGGTGGCTTAAAAAGCACGGACTTCGGGGATCACCCGATCGGGCAGTGCAGTACTGGTTTCCCACCAGCCTCGCAGTGGACAACTCCTCTGATGCATGGCTTGTGACGAGTGACAGTTGCCTCGGTTACTCCTAGGGGACCTAAAGGCCACTTTTGTTGAGAACCCTGATTCTTCACCTGGGCTGCAGACGTCTGATGGGTGAGTGGAAGAGATACAGGCTCGGGGTCTCTGCCTTCGAATTGTGTCTGCCCCTTTTGCTCCCTTAACCTTTGAGTGAGAGTCTACTCAGTTCTGGGTAAAGACACAGCGGTTGCCTGCTGGACCTGCACGTTTCTCTCTCTGTCTCTCCCTCTGCCTCTCCCTCCCTACCCCTCCCTCATGCTCCTTCAGCTGCTGCAGCAGCCGGGTCATCTAAAGTCCTCCAGCCCCACCCTAAGGCCCACACTGGAACCACAAGCCAGGATGTTTACACAACACGATGGCCCCAGCTACAAAAGGGGTTCAGCAATACCTAAGCCAAATTCAGCGTGCCCACCTTGAGGCCCAAGTCCCACACAAGAAAAATCGTCCGGAGCCTGCTGGCCAGTGGAAACCTCCTGGACCCCAGGCACCCCAGCAAATGCATAAGCACATGTGGCTCCCAGTGCTCCTGGAGCAGCCTGGTCCCCATTTTGTGACCACTGTGACTCCCCGAAGCTCGAGCCTCCCTCAGCCCAGTTACAGTCTTGTGTATGTTGCTGCAATGCTTGACTTGGCCTTACTTCTCCGGTCTCTGAATTAAAAGTCCCATCTGGCACCAGCCCCGTCCACACACGGTTTCTCCCATGCCCTCATTACCTGTGTCACTCTCAGCTGGCTTTTCTGCTCCTGTGGGCTGCAGAGCTTCCAGCTGCAGCACCATCTGCCTGCGCGTGAGTCAGAGCACAGAGTGGGAAGACAGAGGCTGCTCACAGTGGAGGCCTGAGCGGCATCAGAGCCGGGAAGGACCGAAGCCTTAATCCCGCTGAGTCCAAGTGGCAGCCAGGCCAGGACCTCTGGGAGGTGGTTAGGGTTCAATGGGGCCGCGAGGGCGTGGCCCACATCCAATGGCACTGTGGTTTGTAGGAAGAGCAGGAGAGCTGGAGCTAGGACGCCTGTCTCTCCAGAGCCCCACCTCGAGTGGCCGCCATCTCAATGTTCTCAGCCTGCACAACCATGAGCCAGGTAAACGCACCTTTGATCCATTTCTCAGCCTGTGGTGCCAGAGAAAAAAAAACCAAGATAGCTGAAGCTGAAGAAGGCCCAAACTCGTTCAGAGTGACAAAGACAAAGGGTATTCCAGGTCCAGGTCTCAATCCCACCGCTGCCCATGGTGGCTTCATGCACAGGGCTTCAAACTCTCGGGCCCTTGCTTTCTTCTTTTCATTGCAAACATGGTCATGAAACCCTGAATATGTGTGAGACTTCACCTGGCAAACCATTACGACTGATTTGAGGACAAACACACAGAAAGGCTCGTCCTGCTGACATCTTGATGATGATAAAGCCAAGCTCTTAAGACACTAAATACAGCCAACAAAACCAAGTCACTCTGGCGTTTTCTCCACCTCTCCTAACACCCTTCCCGCCCCTCTCCACTGGCCACCCCAGGGGACAAGACCACCGTGATTAGCACAAGCTGGGTGGCTCGGGCTCAGGGGCTGGAGCAGGGCAGAGGGGTCCCGCAGGAATTTGATCAGAGGGGCAACACATGCAGACAGGAATCTCAGATGGGACATGCATGCCACGGGGTTGTGTTCCACCACAAAGATGTGCTCCAGGCCTAGCTCCAGCACCTCAGGACAGAGGGTCTTCACAGACTCCATGTAAGTGAGGTCACAGGGTGGGCCCTAACCACCATGACTGATGTCCCTGCAGAAAGGGGATGTTTGGACAGTCATGCCTGAATCAGACTGGTCATCACACTTCAGCCGCAGAGCCATGGTTGAGGCAGGAGTGTTAGAGCAATGTGCTCTCTTTTATTTTCTCCACCCCAAAACCTTGAGGTCAGGACTCTTGCTGACTTTAATCCAGAGTCCAAAGCCCAACCACCTATGCTCCAGGCCCTGTCCACCTCCACCGGCACTGACCACCCGGGCCGGTACCAGCCAGCCAGGGCCTGCCCCAGGCGAGTGCACTGAAACTGTTCAGACCAGCTGGCCCAAGCCTGTGCACCCCGCCTCACCTCCTCCTTTCTCCAGGCCCTCCAGGCTCTGCCCACTGTTCTTCCCCAGAACTTCCTGTGTGACCCCCAGGCATGGCACACCCACCTCAGACCTCTGAGTAGCAAACTGTCTTCAATGGTGTCACCTCCTGACCTACGGCCTTGCCCACCTACTTCATCTGTAATACACTAATTTTTAAGCAAGAAATAATCTAATTCTATACTAGCATCCTTAAAATTTCATATTCTCTAGACACATTCAAATCTAAGGATGACCAATGCCTCGCCTAACCAGGTTGTGCCACACATGCAGAACATAAAAAACCAGCAGAAATAGCTTGCATCAGCCGAAGTGCTCCAAACTCCCTGCTCCTTCTAGATCAAGGACCCCACGGGAGTCACCTGGAGCTGAAGAGAACCACAGTCTCACTAGGATGTCCTGAAAGCTCTTCCTGAAAGCCACAGGAAGTCCACAGTGATGTCGTGTCAGTTCCTGGCTCCCCACCAGGAAGGGATGTCAATCTAATGGCTTCAGTGCACCGAATGTTGCAATCTGACCCGTTTACTGCTGAACGGAGAAGAGGAATCCGAGCCAGGTGGCAACGCCCTGGCTTGTGTGCTCCCTAAGGGATGCCAGGCTGTTTTCCAGGGGAGCTGCCAGCCTCCCTGGCCAAGTCAGAGAGTAGGTAAATGCTGAGGAGCACAGTGCAACCAGATATGTGTCTGCCTTAGGCGAACTGCAATGAAGAATCTGGCAGTTGCTCAGAGGGCAAAGCAAAGCAGGGTGGAAGCTGGGGAAGGAAGAAAACGCTTAGGATTTTAAGAGGGTGCCGAAAGAGGCACAGTACAGCCCTGGCTGCAGCTGAGTCCTGGTCCCTGCAGGCAGCTCCAAGCCGCTATAAATCCTCCTGTGCCCAAGGAAAACACAAACCAGACTCAGGCCGAGTGACTCACACACAGTGAGGCGTCATGCCAACGTGACTGTGAAATGAAGTTTGTCCTATCCTCCTGCCTTGAGCAACTGCACTTCTAAAACACCTCGCAAGGCCAGGTAAAACTCAGGGTGCTTGGACTCCTGACAGTCCTTCACCAGCAGCAGAAGGGAAAGGGGAGTCAGCCTCACGGTACCCTCTGCCCCCCTCTTCCCCAAGGCACCCCGCTCCACCCAGGGCCTCACTCCACCCAGGGCCTCGTGTGCTGGGGGATGGACCCTCAGCCTGCACCCCTGCACCCGGCCCGCTCTCCTTGATCCTGGACAGAGGAGCGATTTCTGGTCTCCTGAACACTGAGAAAATAAAGTTTGTTGTTTTAAGCCCCTTAGTTTATGGCCTTTGCTGCAGCAGCCTGGGGGAATTCATATGGACTCTGAACCCAGGAAGCAAAGACCCCACACCTGCTTCCAGGCAGAGCTGTGGTTCAGAGCAAGCCGTGACGGAGGACACATTACCATAGTGACCTGGGAGCCCAAATGCTCGCTGGGAAGATAGAAATGCTGCAAAGGTTGGTGATGAGCTGAAGCCGCAGCAGCAAGGCAGCCTGGAGGGCAGCACTGGTCTCACTCTGAAGATGCTGGCGTAGCACCTCCTGGCCAGGATAAATGGCTAGGTGCTGAGGAACGGTGACTCTTAGGCATACAAATGTTTGGGAGAGAGGTGTGTCTTGGAGCTGAGAGTAAGAAGCACAGCCTGGCATGTGAGCTGCGTGTGCATGCAGATCTGGGGGTCTCGGTACAAAGTGTGCAGCCCGTGTCGGGGGGCTTGTGCTCACACACATGTGGGAAGCCAGTTCTGTGTGGTGAACCCCGTAAGGCAGCTGTACGTGAAGGGAGAGGGGAGCACATTCAATTGTGGACTTACTGCATTTTCCACGCAATGCTGAACTGTTTTCTGGGCCTTTCAAAAACTAACCAGCTGGGCTGGGGATTTAGCTCGGTGGTTCAGGCACCTGCCTTGCAGGCGCAAGGTCCTAAGTTCGATCCCCGGTACCAAAAAAAAAAAAAGCTAACCAGCTGACTCGGTAGAAAACCGTCCCCAAGGTGCCGTGGCTTCATGCCCGTGGTTCACGGTTTGCCAAGCTGAGTGGGGCTCAGCTGGGTCTTCTGGCCTGTCTGGGTTACGTGTCTGCTAGGGATGCTGTGACAGTGTACCACAGATGGGGGCTTAGACAGCGCACATGTATTTGTTGTCCTTCTGGAGCCTGAAGCCTGACGTCCAGACATCAGCAGGGCAGATTCGGTTTGTATCAGTGTAACTATCACTCAGAAACTGTGTGCACTGGGCTCGATGGCTTCAACGGGGAGTTCTCCAGCAGGGGTTTCCACCCTCCTGCTGCCGTGGGTAACCAGGACGGGACCTGAATGTCAACTGCGCCAGAGGCCCCTGGAGGTCTGAGTCCTCACCTTGCCCTTTGCTGTGGGCTCAGGACTGAAGGAGGCTGAGCGAGGACCTTTCACACACACCATTCTCCTTCCCACCACCACGAGAAGAAAGAAAACAATAACTTGCAAAATAAATGCAACCTCAGAGACCCCTCCCCAAGCCCTCCTGCAATTCCCTGCTCTGAGCGCTTCCTTGGGGACCTGAGGGGACCTCCCACCTTTACCTGCATTCCTCCACCTAAGCCCGGCCAGGGTCCTCCTTGACTCAGCCCCCTCTCACCTCCCCTGTGCACTCCCCGCCCAGCCCACATTCCCACACCCGGTCACCGAGAAGGGCTTGGCCCTTTCTCCTTGGCTTAAGGCAGCCCCTTCCTCACGGCGCAGGGATGCGCCCCTCCCTCTCTGCGCTCCTGGAATAGTCTCTGAGCCAGAGCTGTTTCGCGGGAACACGTGAAAGGTAGAGGGAAGGCTTCCACTGCCCTGGCCGGCGGGCACCACAGCTGCACTGCACCATCTTTAGAACCCGGATCCACCCAGTCTGCGACCCACACAGTCCGCTGAGCGCCCTCCCTGCCGGGCCCTGGTTGAGTCGTTGAGGCCCCTCCTCCTCTCACTCACGTTAGTGGGGGACCCGTCTTACTAAAAATAAACAAGCTAGACGGTGAGCGCCATGAAGCAAAGGTGAGGGCTGCAGGTGCAGGGGCTGGGCACGGACCCCAGCTCGACCCGTGCAGCCTCGAAGCAGAGCCCAAGGTCCCGGGCTGCATCCCGCAGCCCTCGCCCTCCCTCTTCTGTCCTCGCACACGAAAGGGTGCGGCCCACTCGATCAGTTCCCCTGCACTAACCCAAAAAAAGCCTGTTCCTCCTCCTCTTCCGGCTCCCTGCCAGGTGTCTGCCCAGGCCGGGGTGGGGGCGGGGGGGGGAGCCCTGCCACGGGCGGGCAGACTTGGGACCCAGGCTCGCTTGGGCTCCGTGCCAGCCCCCGTGCACCTCTCCTGGCAGAGACGCAAGCTCTGAGCCCGGAGAGGGAGCAGCGCTCTGCCCACCCACGGCTTGGGGGCAGACTGGTGTTTCCTAGGGGTTGGGAAGTTCGCCAAGATTTTCAAGCACTAGGGAAGCTTTTCACGGGATTACAATGCACTCATCTCCACATCAAGTCGTTGGCCAACCTGCAGACGGTGTTTTGAAGACACGGGTTTTTCCAGGAGCCCTATTCATTTAACTGTGCTGGGCCGGTTTGGGACACCTGGGGCGATGCTGCCACCTACTGGACATCTGTCCCAGAGCAAACCCAGCTGAGGCGCGGGCCGCTCCTCTTCCGGCCCCGGGAGTTCGATGGCTTTGTGCTGTGTGCTGCCCTCGAGCAGAGGCTCTGGGGACGCCTTCTACGAGGGCCTAGAGAGGGTTCCCTGGCCCCCCTCGGGGTGCGACAGGAGTCCACCAGGGAAATTCGGACGAAGCCGGAAGCCCAGGCAGCTCCTGATCGCGCCAGGGCTTGACGACCACAGAGAGGACAGGGAGTCCTCCAGGTCCAGTCCCCAAAGGGCGGCTGCACACTCACCAGAGCCGTGCGGTTCTCCACACTCTTCTCTCTCATAGCTTGCGCCTGGTCGTTTATCTAAAGGAAATTTTCCAACTGAAGGAGTGACCAGGACCAACCACATCCCAAAATTTGGTTAGTCCCGTGGTACCAACACTACAAAAATGAAGAAACCTGGGATTGTTAAACTACAGGACAGAGTCCCAGCGCCTGGGGCTGGGATGTAGCTCGGGCCTAGAGCACCTGCCTGGCCTGTGGGGCCTTGGGTTCCGATGCAGCACAGCAAGAACAAAAAACACAAATTAACGCGTATCTCGGCAGCTCAGCACACCTGGATACAAAGCACACGCCCACAGCGATAGAAACGAACCATGGCCGCAGTCCTGGCACGGTGCAAGCAGCACCGAAGGGCTCCGAGGCTGAGACTGACGGGCGGCTCCCAGGGCTGACTCCCAGCGCCCGGGCCTCTGGTCTGACCGCAGGCACCTCGGGAAAAGCTTCTCCGCAGCACGCAGCAGGGCTGCGGCTGGGGCGGCTTTTGTGGTGAGGCCCCGCTGGCGTGCTCTGGGCTTTTCTGGCCGCCTACTTGTAAGATTTCAAAAGCCCCAGTGAAGATTTTCATCCCGCTTCTTCCACATTCTCACGCACCAGTCGGTGCTCCGACCGGCCCACGTGCGATCACAACGGAGCTCGCCCCTGCGCGGGCCTCGGGCCCCCCTGAGGGGACGCCCCTCCCTGCGAGCCCGTCCCCTGCCCCGCTCCTCCCCTGCCAGCGACTTGGCGCCCACCAACCCGGCACAGCGCGCCAAGGGCTCCGCGCGAAGCCTCGGCCGCCGACCGGGCCGGAGCCCTCCCCGCTGGGCCCGGCGGCGGCGCGAAGATGCACGCGCGGCTCCTGGGGCTGTGGGCGCTGCTGCAGGCGGCGGAGCAGAGCGCGCGTGAGTGCAGGGCGGGGGGCTGCGAGGGCTCACACGTCACAGCCCGGGCCCGGGGCTCCCCTCCTGCGGCCCGGCCCGCCCAAGCCCTGCGTGCCGGTGCCCGCTCGGCGACTCCCTCCCTGCCGCCCGCCCGCCCGGGAGTCTGCGCGATTCCGGCTCCTTCCCCGCCAGTGCTCGGTCCCCGGGGTGCGGGGCTCCCCCTCCCCTGCACAGTCCCCACGATGCCGGGGGACGCCGCGCCCGGGTCGGGGTGCCCGCAGCTCTCGTGCCTTTCGCTGGCCAGGAGGGGCACCGAGGCCTGGGAGGCAGCTTGCCAGCGGGAGGCCAAGAACGAGGGGTTCGGGGGAACAGGGGTCCCTTTGGGGTCTAGGCCGGACCCGAGCGGAGGCGGGGCGACAAGGTACCCTTTTCGCGCCTTTCCCGTTTGAACTTGGGCTCTTACCGCGCGGGACGAACGTCTCCGCCCACTTCCGCCTCGTCTTCCGGGGCGGGGCCGGGGCAAGAACCGGAGCCCGGGAGGCCCGGAGGCTGCTTGCCGCGTCCGGGCGCGGGCGCGGGCGCCAGCGCCGGTTGGAACCTGACGCGGTCTGGCCCCGGAGCGGCGCTGGGCGCGGCCTAACCCCAGCCCCGCGCGCGGACCCTGGGCCCACCTGCACCGCGGGCAACGCGGTTTCCGCCGTTGGCAGCCGTGCCCAGGCGTGCACTGTAAACGGAAAGGCGGGAAGGGTCCCGGACCCCACTGCCCCGCGCCCCCCGGGCAGAGCCTGCAGCGCTGCCCGCGTGCGTGTTTGGCGTGGGGAGCGCGGGGCGGGGCGGGGCGGGGCGGGGCTCCCGAGCCCCTGGGGCCTCGCGGTTTCCGCTAGAACTCGAGGCTTCTCCCTGTGGATCCCTTTTAAGGGATCAGTCAATCCCGGAAAAACTTCACCGTGCCCGACCCAGCCTCCCCGGTGAAGGGTCACGCGGTCTCAGCATGGCCGAGCTGCCAGGCACTCGCCGTGTTGTCTGCAAGCCAGGGCGCCTTTGTTTCCCCCAATTAAATGTAGAATTACAGATCGGTGCGTGTTCCTGTGACATTTCCACGCACGTGTCTGCCCTCCCACGGCTCTCGTCCTCGCCTGTCCCCTCCGACCCGTGGTAGTGCCCCTGCGGCTTTCAGTCATCTTTTCTTTAGTTGCCACGCGTGAGAGGCAGCGAGTGACAGTTGTCTGTGTCTGGCTTAGTACCTGGCCTCTGGCTCCATCATTTTCTGTAAAGGCCAGGATCCCAGTCTTTGTGCTGAATGACTCCGCTGTGTGCATTTACCAGTTTATTTGGCCCCTTGGCCTGTGTGGCTGGTGCCACAGATTAGCATCTCACCGTGTCCCTCGCTTCGGCTGTGTCCAGGCTGGGGTGCTGGGCACATCCGGTCCTAGTTTCCGTGCTGAGGAACCTGCCTACGCCCCGCTTTCCCACCAGCGGGCTACAAGACTCCTCTCTGCTCTTCTGGCCAGCGTGTTACTTTTGTGGCAAAGACCATTCTGAACAGGCCGAGGTGGTCTGTCACTGTGGAATCGATTTGCACTTCCGTTGCCCCTTTGTTCTTCTTAGAAGAAATGATCTGTTCAGACCATTTGCCGCTTTCATTTTTTTAAGGACTAATTTGGATCTTCTGTTCAGTTTTTTGGGCTCTTTGGGTATTCCGGGTATTGATCCTGTGTTTAAAAAGAAGCTGGCGAAGATTCCCTCCCACTCTGTGGGTTGTCCCTTTGCTCTGCTGCCTGTTCCCTTTGCTGGGCGGAAGCTTTTTAAGTTTTCAGCTCTCGCTCTTGTGCCCTGAGCTGCTGGAGTTCTCTCTGGGAAGTCACTGCGTGTGCTGGAGTCTTCTTCTCCTTCTGCTTCCCTCTAGTAGTTTCGGATGCTAGGTGCAGGTCTTGGATCTGTTCTGAGCTGGTCTTTGTACAGGGTAAGAAATAGGGGTCCAGTTTGAATCTTCTGCATTTGAATATCCTGTTTTCCCGGCACCATGGAAGAGGCTGTCCTTTCTCCCACGTTATGTTCTTGGCACCTGCGTCAGGAGTCAGGGGGCTAATGATGCTTGGATTTATTTTGGGATCCACTCCTGAGTGTGTTTCATCAGGGTCTCCATTTGGTCTATTTTTCTTTTTCCGCCAGCACCATGCTGTTCTTGTTACCGTGGCGTTGTCATGTATTTTGAAATCAGGTATTTTGTGTGTGTGTGTGTTTTTGTTTTGTTTTGTTTTTTGGTACCAGGGATTGAACTTGGGACCTTGCATGTGCAAGGCAGTTGGTGGCACCACCAAGTTAAATCCCTGGCAATATTTAAATGGCCTTTCTTATTAAAAACTTCAAACTGTGAAAAATCATGGTTACATGAAAGGTTTTTTCTAAGTAGCTGGATTTATCAAGTTCAAGCTAACAGTTTAAACAGCTTGATTCATAATCAACATTTTGTAGAAAAATTCATTCTAGGATCACTGTCTTTCAGTATTATCTGGGTTTAAATTTAAAAAGATCAGCAAGCATGCTGAAATCTGCAATATTCCGCAAGATGTTCCATAACATTACTCCAAAAGAACACAGACAACCAACATTCTAGGTTGACAGCAAGTCATAAACCAGAAGAAGGTAATTCACGCCACACACAGTGGATTAATAACCTTAAATATTAACCTTACTGAGGAGTTCTGCACTAGAGCTGCAAAAAGGAAAATTGTCTTTAAAAATGAGATGAAGTCTTCACTGTGATTTCTTAAGAGATGTGCTCTGGTCTTCCTCTCTTTATTATCTTCGCTGACTCACAAATATTGCTTTTATATCTAAAATTAGTTCAAATAATAGACTATAAACTTCATGAGGTAATGTTTACATATTATGAATTCAGGTATTGTGATGCCTCTAGCAATGATTTTTTTGCTCAGGACTCCTGAAGGTATTCAGCATCTTGGTGTTTCCATATGAGTTTTAAGTTTCTCCAGCTCTGTGAAGAATGTTTTTGCTATTTTGATGAGAATTCCATTGGCTGTAGATCACTTTAGACAGCATGGCTATTTCAACAGCCCCCTCCCAGTCCCTCCCTAGGGATTGAATCCAGGGCCAGGTGCACGCTAGGTAGGTGCTGTCTCCCGCTAAGCTACATCCGCACCCCTTTTTTCAAAATTTCATTTAGAGAAAAATTTCATTTCAACTCCCTAAATTGCTCAAGTTAGCTTCAAACTTGGCAATGCCTCCCGAGTGGCTGGGACAGCTGGCATGTGCAGCCTCGCCAGCTAAGTTAACTGTGCTAATTGTCCCGATTTGTGAACGTGGGAGGTCTTCCCAACTTCTGGTGTCTTCTTCCGTGTCTTTAGGGTTCTGCAGTTTTCTTTGTAGAGGTCTTCCCACATCTGTGTGTGGGTGTGGGTGTGTGTGTGTGTGTGTGTGTGTGGTGAATGGGATTGCTATCCTGATTTTTTTCTCAGTGAGTTTGTTGGCGCTATATAAAAAAGCTACTGATTTTCATATATTGATTTTGTATCTTACTCCTATGGAACTTATTAGCTCCTGGTAGAGACCCCTGTGATCAGGTTGCAGTACCCACCTGCCCAGTATATGACATAGGCCTGAGAAAAAGAATACACTGAGAGACAGAACTAGGAGAGAGAAAGTGGGGGCCAGGACGACCAATGCCAGTGCAACCGACAAAGGCCCTGGCCAGTCCCAGGCACTGACTTTTATTGGCAATCAGTGGGGGTAAAGGCGATGTGTGGTTTCTATGGAAATTAATGTAAACAAGGCTCAGAAAGGACAAGACAAAGCCTTCTTGAATTACGAACAGAACAGACAAAATACATGATTGTAATTAGAGCACTGTCCTTCTACTCTGAAGGTTTAGTTGTGAGAATAGAATTTGGGTGTGAGTTACGCTGACCTTGGCACGTAGGCTTCGCCCAGACTCACTTCTCAAAACAAGCCAATTGTAGGGTTGGCTCTTCACAGCCTGCCTTGGGCATGATCAATATCATGGTCCTCTGCAAGCTCCAGCAGTCTTTTGGTGGAGTCTTTAGGATTTTTCCATGTACAGAATCATGTCATCAGCAAGTGGGGACAACTGGACTTCCTCCTTTCCTATCTGTGTTGCTTTTATTTCCTTGTGTGGCCTAACTGCTCTGGCTGACGCTATGCACCATGAGAATGCACACCCTTGTCTTGCTCTTGATCTTGGGGAAACACTGATCTTAGCAGCCAGCAGCTCCTTTAGGAGCGCCCAGCACTTCCCTGCTGACCCTTGCAGCAGGCTCTTGCTCCAGCACAGGCTTCCTGGTACTTCGGGACACTGTGTTGTCGGTCGTTTTGTTTCTGGTTTTTAATGAGATGGTCAGGTTGGGCGACACAAGGACTCGGGAGAGCCTCAGGACAGCAAGATTCACATCCTCAAAGGGGGCAGAGCCAAGGGTCCTGGCAGGCCTGTGGGGCCACGCGGATGGTGCTAGGTCATTCGGAGGCAGAGGTCTGGAGCCAGGGGACTGGGAGGCCACAGCCTTGGGCAGTGGGAGGGCGGGCACGTAGGACGGGCTGGGAGAGCAGTTCCCGTGGCGTGTGGGCTGTCACAGTCCCCACTGCGGGGCTCCCGCGGTGAGAGCCGGCGGGACAGCAGCGGCTCCGGGCTGTCTCAGGCGCGCTCCTGTGCTGCCAGGGCCAGCGGGTGCTGCCCTGGGAAGGCGCTCTCCCCAGCCAGGAAGACGCCAGAGCTCCCTAAAACGCAGACGGCTTAACGGTTCCCAACCCTCTCCTCTCTCCCCAGGCCTCGGCTCCGTGGCTTACTTCTTCGCCACAGGACAGCACCTCTGGGCGTGGCTGGCCCTCTCGGTCCTGCTGCCCGGCCTCTTGGTCCAGGGCCTGAGCTACCTGTGGTTCCGGGCAGACGGGCGTCGGAGCCGCGGCTGGCTGCTGGTGCTGCACCTCCTGCAGCTCGGCATCTGGAAGCGGTAAGGCAGCGGCCCCTTGCGGATGAGGGCAGTGGGGCGTCCTCTGTGCCTGGCTCCTGGCCCGGCCCGTCGGGGCCTCCCCGGCCACCCCGCCACTTTGAACATCGGACATCCGGGCCCCTCCGGATGCCCTGGGACCTTTCAAAAGCTTTCTCGTCTTCAGCCAAATTCTGGCTTGCTGTTCTTTCCATCCGTTCTCCAACTTTGGAGCCACATAAAGGAACTCGCTTATGGCAGCGCTGTTCGCACACCTGTCCCCGTGGCTGGAGATGGTGGCACAGAGGTAACTGCTGACGAAATAGTAGTGGCCTGGTGGCATCTGCCACAGCCTTTGTCGCCTGGAAGCCCAGGCCAGGTCTTCCCGTGAGGCCGCAGCCAGGGGGGGCCCCGTGCCGAGGGTTACCTGCCATCCCGGCCCCTCTGCAGGAGAGGTGTCCTTTCCTCTGTCGTCAGAAGAAACGAGGCACTGAGTTCACACAAAGGGTTCGTTCCAGCCCCCAGCCACCTGTCACACATGGGGTGGAAGGGAACTTTTTTAAAAGAGAAGAATCCGAGGTCTCGATCGAGGAAGTCTGCAGCCCGGTTTTATTAAATCACAGATAGGATTCCAGGGTGGCCAGAGAGCTCGGCCAAGGGACCCTGAGTTGCCTTGCTGCTTCCAGTACTTTCTCTGGAGGGTCCCAGACGGCCGAAGCTGGAGTGAGGTGCCCTCGCAGGAGAGACACAGTGGCCACCCGAGTTTCCTGGCCCCAGGGTGTCCCCGCCATGCATGAGGCACCAAGAGCACATCTGGGATCGCCAGTTTCCCCGCACTGGGCCCTGCTGCTGCACCCCTCGGGCAGCCTCTGCCTGTAAGGAAACCGGAAGGGCTGCCCCTGTCCGCTTGCCTGGGCCGTGGTGGTCAGAGGATAGGCCCCCGAGACAGACAGCCCGTGCGAGCACAGCGCCAGGGCCCTGCGAGCCAGCAGCGGCCTCCAAATAGCTGCCGGTGAATCTGCCTTCAGAGGCTCCGAATCCAGCGCTTTTCTGGCATCTACTTAAAAACTGATATGGATAAGTGAAGAGAAGTGAAAACTAGAAATCAGGAAAAACAACAACTGGTCCTATAGGTCTAATTTTCAAAAGAAGTCGGGGTGACCAAAAAGTTATACATGTCATTTAAAAGGACAAAAAATTCAAAACCAAAAATAAAGAAGTGAGAAGAAACAGGAAAGGGCAAAATTTTGGACCATGAGATAAAGCTGGAATGTGCAGTTTTTACAAATGAGCCACAAATTTGGCTTTCGGCTCCAGGACCGCCAGCACAATTCAAGAAGCTGTGGGGTTTGTGGAGTTATTTGGATTACAAGTGAGCGAACACGCGGAACTCTGCTTCCACCGTGAGGAGCTCTGCAAAGGGAGGCGGACCCGGGGGCTTCGCTCGCTCTGGAGCCAGCACGTTGGATCTCAGAAAACGCCCCCAAGTTGCTCTGGAGCACATCGCTCCCAAGTTGCAGTTTGGTAGGAGCGCCTGCAGGAGGAGCCAGAGCAATGTTTCACAGGACCCCGAGCTGCCGGTGACAATGGGTCCTCACCGTTCAGGAGAAACTCAGGGACAACTCCACGTTTTTCTCTTCAGGAGTTTGGTTTCTACCCTAACTATATGCTGCCAACAGCTTTTTACTCTTTTTGAAGCCTGAATAAATCCACTTGGGAACTCAGCACAAGATGATAGAAGAATACCTAATACCTAATGTGCATCTTGGCTTAGCGATTTTTCTTTAGTGGAAGTTAAAAGCTGCATGCGTGCGTGTATACGTGCGTGCGTATACGTGCGTGCGTGCATGTGTGTGGGGGGGGGTGCGTAGTGTGTGTTACTGGCGGTTGAACCTAGGGCCTTCACACTGAGCTACATCCCAGCCCGTTTTTGTTTTGATACAAGCTCTAAGTTGCTAAATTGCCCAAGCTAGGCTCAAACTTGAGATTCTCCTGCATCAGCCTCCCAGAGTACTGGGAGTTTTTTCTCAAAGGAAAGTCGCCAACTATGGGTACGGAGCACGAGCCCAGAACAGATAGGTGGAGACTGACTATTTAAGAGCCCACGCAACAATGCAGAGCTGTCGCGGGACCCTGCACTGTGGCTACCTCGGTGCCAGCATCACCAGGTGTCAGAGGAAGAGAAGAGTCTTACTCTGCGAGTGGGCAGTGACCCCGGTGGGTTTGCTCCGGCTGCTGGCGAGGGAGGACTGCCGCCTACTGACAAACTTGATTCCACAGAGCTCGGCTAGGTTCCTTGACGGCCTGTGTGGTTCTTACTGAGCGGGGACCCTGTGTCCCCCCGACACAGCACCTCCTGCTGCCCCGTTCGCCTCAGAGACCCTCGGGTGCCCTGAGGGTCGGGAGAGACAGACACCGGGTCTCTGAAGGCAGCGAGCAGGCGGGAGGGGTGGAGGAGGTGGGGTGGGGCCAGAGGCTTTGCCCGTGGATGTAGATGTGGACAATCCCGCGCCTTCCGGGCCTCTGGGAGCAGAGGACTCTAGCCACACCCTGACCGTGTCACAAACAGCAGAGTTCGCGTCATTCTCCAAACACAGACCGGGCTGGGGCCCAGTGCAGAGCCGCCCAGGGGTCCTGAGGGCACTGGTGGCGGGCACAGCCCGCTGACGGTCAGTGTGGCAGGAAGTGCACCTAGGTGCTGCGGCACCGCTGTGACAGCCGCCGGAAATGAGAAAAGGCTCGTGGTCGGGTGAGAAGGCTCCGGAGGAGAAAGCTGTGGGATAGACGAGGGCCGAGGAGCCCCATGGCGACATTGGGACAGAAAGCAGAGGCCACAAAACCCAGGCAAGAGCAGGCGTGGGGGTGCAGCGGCCAGGACTGGGGTCAGGTGACCCCACAGGTGACCACCTGAGGCCGAGCCCCGCGTCTTCCTCCTCCTCCCCGCTGTCCGGGCTCCGTCAGCGCTGACCAGGGGTCAGGCCCCAGGCTGTGCCTCCGGCCCTGGGTTGCAGAGGCCGGGGGTCCACCCAGACCTTTCCCATTCCCGGACTCGTGGACGACCCCACCTCCCACTGTCCAGAGCTGCCCCCTCCCTGCAGGCCTGCCCTGTCCCCTGAGCCTCCACCTGTCTCCACCCAAGCCGCCCATTGTCTTGTTTCTCTTCCTACTTAGGCCTTTTGCGTGTGTACGCTTTCTTTCCTTAGGCTTCGAGGAAACATCTTTACATTTCTTACTCTTTCTGTCATCTGTGGCACATGGCCAAACCCCAGTCAAAATGCACTCGGAAGCCAGGTGTGATGGCGCACACCTGTGATCCCTGAGCCGTGGGAGGCTGAAGCAGGAGGATCACACAGTCAAGCCCAGCCTGAGTGACCTAATGAGACCATCTCAAAAGTTTGAAAACAGGGCGGGCTGGGATGTAGCCCAGAGAGAAGGCCCTAGGTTTGATCCCCAGTACCTAAAGAGAAGTATCTTGAACCAAAGAAGCCTGGAGGACAGGAAGAGGAAACTCAGGGCAAGGAGTACGTGGCTACAGTTTTGCTTCTGTTTTTCTTCACATTAAGTTTGTGTCGGGAATCTTGGCTTCAAAGACTCAGTAAGAATTCAGTCCACCCCAGGCTTCCAAATCATGGAAAAGGAAAACGTTTTCCCTACGAATGTTTCCTGGGCCATTTCAAAGAGCGCCCCGCCTTCCGCCTGGACGCAGCAGTGCTGGCCTCAGATCAGTCCCGAGATCGTCGTGGGGTCTGGGGGCTCCTGGCGGAGGTTTTCAGGTGACCCGGAAGGTCGTGCTGCTAGGGCTCAGGACTGGGGACTGGAGTCCCCACCGAGCTTCTGGGCAGGGCAGCTCCAAGCAGGCGGGAGGGGTCACCCTGAGGCCCCCACGCGCAGTCTCCAAGCCCACAGTGCCGGCCACTTTCCGTGGGTGCACGAGGTGAGAGGTGGAAGGGTTTGCAGGGTGGCTATGGAAGCAGGAGGAGGTAGGCGCGTTCTCCTTTTCCACACCGCAGGACTGTCACCGGGCCAACGAGTGGGCCGAGCACAGCCGACCTGGGCCCTGTGTGCGCCCGACCCCTCCCGGCCTCCGTGTGTGCGGGTGTCTGGCCGTCACCCTCTGTCCTCGCCTGGCTCCGCACTTCACGCTGTGGACACCCGAACGCTTCCAGACTTGCTGTCCCTGCGGCCTGGCTCTCCACTGCCACCCGCTTTCCGACGGCTCTGTGTTCTGGTCCAGGCACTTCCATGCGAGCAGCACCAAGGCCCTGTCTTTAGCCCTCTGCTACCCACAGCGACCTCTTCCGGCCATTTCCACTACCCCGGCCACAGCTGTCGCCTCTGTCCCGGCCCTGTCACCTTCAGGAGCCCCAGGCCTCACCACTCGGGAGAGCAGCAGCTTCCCCAGCCGGCCTGCACCCTCGGGGGCTTCTTCCTGTGGGTGGCAGGCAGCTCCAGGTCCAGCCCCAGAGCCACCTGTACCCCTCACCTCCTGCCCAGTCAGGTCCTGGTCCCTATCCCTCAGTGTCCCCTGCACCAGCTCCCTCCTTTCCATTTGGTCCATTCAATTTCCACCGGACCCTTCAGGAATTACTGCTTAAAGTATTAACTTTTGCCCTGCTGTCCCTCTCCTGTGTAACTCAGGCATGCACACACCTCGTATACACATGCATGCACGCTTATATTCACACACTTACCCCATACCCCAAATACGGTACATACCTCTCCCACATTCACCTTTCCAGAGAAAAATCCAGACCCCACAGCCTGAAATTCAGAGCCCGACTGACCTCACCAGGCCCCACCAGTGCCCAGTATCACTGCTCCACTCCAGCCCCATGGGCCTCTTGCGGGACCCAGGGAAGCCCGGCCCCCTCCCTGCCCACTGCTCCCCATGGGCCCCAGTTCCAGGACAGAGTTCTGCAGCCCAGGGTGACAGGCCGGGGTCTTCACCTCAGTGCTCCAAAGCTCTGGCCTAGCCCAGCACTAGCAGCAGACCTCTGTGCACAGAGGGAATTCATCGCGTCCCAAGGGGCCCTGGGGTGGGGATACAGCCAGGGTCACCTGCAAACCTCTCAGGGCTCTCGGCCTGCACCCTTGCCCTGCAGCAGCTCTGGCTCAGCTCAGAGACAGCCCCCACACAGGGCCTGGCTCTGGCCCTCCAGGAGAGGGGAGAGTGAACTGGGATCCTCAGCTTGCTGTCTGTGACCCCCCCCCCCCGCAACATCAGCTGTGCATGGGCTGCCCCTCGGGATGCTGCCCTCACTTCTGCAGATAAAAGGGCAATCCCTGTGTCACCCACCTTTCTCTCCTCAGGCACTGGGACACCTTGGCGGCCCTTCAGAGGGGACGGCAGGCCCCTGGCCCAGGCCAGCCGCAGCTGCAAGAGGCAGACCTGGCAGCGCTCCGGCTCCTGGAGGCCCTGCTGCAGAGCGCCCCTCAGCTGCTGCTGCAGACCTACATCTCTCTAGCCTCGGGCTTCACAGAGGCTGTGCCAGGTGAGCAACTTCCGAGGAGGCAGAACTCACACCTTGGTTAGCAAAGCCCCCCGCTGTGAGGCCCGAGCTCGGGAGAACCAGGCACCCCGGGCTCGCTTGCCTGGCTTTTGCTTCCTGCATGTAGGTGTGTGTGCATGTGCGTGTGCATGTGCGCATGGCTGCTAGCCCCGCCAAGGAGTTTGATCAGCGGTGCACTTCCCGCTGGGCCAGGTTTTTCATAAGAGGTTCGATGCCCCACAGAGAAATGTGGGGAATGGATCTTCATTGCCGGGGCTTGGGGTTCTGCATGGGACACTGTGACACTGTGTCTGTCTGATTCCTTTCCAGGGGTCAGTGCCCTGCTGTCCTGGTCCTTGCTGTCCTGGGCCCTTGTGTCCTACACCCGTGTCCTTGACGTCATGAAGCCAGGCCACCGTGACGTGCCATGGGTGGCCCTCTTCTGCCAGCAGCTGTGGCGGATGGGCATGCTGGGCACCCGAATCCTGAGCCTGGCTCTGTTCTGCAGAGCTTATGGTGCTTGGGTGCTGGTGGTGGGAGGTAAGTGGAGCAGGTGGGCCAGTCGTCTACTGCTGGGTAACAAACTGCCCCAGAAGTGAACTTAGCACAAACAGCACTGCATGATCCTCAGTCCAGGGCCGGGCTGGCTGGGCCTCGGGCACAGCAGGACCACGGGTGCCCTGGCCGCAGGGGCCTGAGCGTGAAGATGCATCCTCACTCACACCAGGCACCCAGCGCTCTTCTTGCAGCTTCGCTCCAGCAAAGCACCCGAGCTGCTCTGGGGACACAGGAAACCGAGACCACCTGAAAGGCAGGCCTGGACCTGGCTCAGTGCAGCTTCTGCTGCATTCTGCCGGCCAGAGTAGGCACGGGCAGCCCAGGCTCACGGGCTCGGGTGGACTCCAGTCCCGAAGAGGGAGCATCCAGGGCCGGGCCATACCTGCTGGGACTTGGAGTTCGAGGCGCAGCCTGAGCTCCCAGCCCCGGAGGCCCTGTGATGAGCTGAGCCTTCCCCAGGGCTCTGTGTGGGCTGGGGTCGCTCTGCAGGAAAGCTGTCCCTCGGACGGCAGGGAGGCAGAGTCCACCCTGACTCAGCACAGTGTACAGCATAGCACTATGCTGCTCTTCGCCTCCTTGGCGGCTGAATCTGGGCGCTGTCTCCGTTCCCAGTGGGACAGCTCCACGGACCAGGCCCTGCCGCAGCGCCCAGATATGAATGGCGCTGACGGGGGCCTGTCTGCCCCCGCGGACTCTTGACTGTCCCTGTGTGTCCCTGCCAAGCACAGCAGTCCCCGCTGGCCATCGGTGAATGCACTCCGCAGGAAGGAACAGTATACTCTTGTTTTACAAGAACTGGAGACACTGCGAAATATCTGGCCCTTGGGCCCCGGGGAAAACATGTAATAGAGTTATTGGCAGAAAAGACCATTTTTTAAAAACAACTGTGCTCCTAAAAAGAAGTTAGTTATGTTGTATTCATCCACTTTAACATTCAGCTTGAGCTCCAAAAGGATATCTTTCATCTTAAAGCGTAGGAATAAGAATTATAGCTGGAATGCGTGGATGGAGTTCTTCCCTTTGGGTGTGGAGGTTTTGGCTCTGTAGCAACAATTCGAAAATAGTGGACCAGAGTCAGTTTTATGAGCTCGTCAGATGCCTTTTGGCGTGAAAGAGGCATCAGTGCCTAATATCCGGTCATGTTAGTGGCGCTGGCCTTTGTGTTCTCCTCTGCAAACTAGGTCACTGCCCTTAGGAGATGAGAGCGGGCAAAGCGTATGTGTGCAAAGACAGAATGGGCTGCTTTTCGTGCCCTGCGGATCTCCCCAGGGTTTTGATGTCTTCCGGGGTGCTGACCGGGTGGCCCAAGCAGAGGCGAGTGCTCCTCACCCAGCTCTGTGTCCTGCCGGCCCCGGCTGGCTCTGTCTCTCCAGGCACCCACTGGCTGGTGATGACCTTCTGGCTCGCAGCCCAGCAGAGTGACATTGTGGACAACACCTGCCACTGGCGGCTCTTCACCCTGCTCATGGGGGCCGTGTACTTCCTCTGCTACCTCAACTTCTGGGACAGCCCTTCCAGGAACAGGATGCTCAGCTTCTACCTGGCAAGTGGCAGCGGCAGCGGCAGCTCTGTAATCCTGACCTGCACAGTAGACACAGCATGTGGGTGTGTGCATGTGTGTGTATGTGTGCGTGCTCTTCCTATTAAAGATGGAATATCTTCACTTCAGCAGAAATTCTAAAGGCAGTTATAGTCTGGTGTCTTCTCCCCGCGACCCTCACGAGGTGTGTAGACCTCAGTTCCACTCAGAGGTGGCCTGGTACCTGTCTTCAGGGTGCTGCTAGTCCAGCAGAGGGGATTGCTACTGTTTTTTGAAAAGCTCATAAATATTGGTACCTAAATGACCAAAAAATAAAGCAGAATGTGGGTAGATAGATGACAGGCAAGAAGAAAAAAGGAGAACCTGCCAGAGTCACTTCCGGCGGAGGCGCCTATGGCCGGGCTTGGTTTCCGTCACCTGCCGGGATGAAGGGGATGTGAGCCCAGGGCGTGAGCAGCCGGGCTGAGGCACAAGCATGGGGGGGGGGGGGCAGCCAGTGAAGTTACTGTGATTGTGCAGAGTGGGCAGCACCTGGGGCGGCCAGGGAGGCTTTTGGGTGACGCTGTGCCAGGTGCAGAGAGGGGAGCAGAGCAGAGCGGAGGTGGGGCCAGGTGGGGCGTCTTGGGCACGTACAGAGTGGGGAACATGGGGTCTCTCCTGGGAGCTCTGAGCTTCCTCAGTCGGCGCCCTAGGGAAGATGGGGCGTCACCGCGCATGAGTCTGAGGCTGTTAGAAAGTGTGCTAGGTTTGCCCGGGTCTCGCAGGGTGGGGGGCAGACAGAACCCCCTGCCGTCCTCGCTGGCCAAGAGCAGCCGGGTCAACCTTGTTCAAGGTGAGACTCTGTCAGCAGAGATCACGCGGGATACTATGCTGGAAAGTGACCCTAGAAAGGAAAATCGGGCGTCATGGTCAACGGTCACCTGCACTGTGGAAGTCAAGATGCGGTATTTTGAGATGTCTTTCTGGTGAGCTGGCTCGGTCACCCTGGCAACAGCATCAGAGGCTAGAGAGCAAGGGTGGAGACAAAAGAAGCCTGAACAGGAAGTAACGGCCAGAACCAGAAAGCGGCGGGAAAAGCAGGACACAGTGGTGAATCTGGGAGAAATCTCAGAATTTTGACCGAGAGGACCCAACAGCCTCACACCAACAGGTGTGAGGACAGAGGGACACCAGGCCATCTACACATCTGGCCTCAGTGCCACCGATGCTGCCTGGGGACCCTGGCTGGGGTCCCCGGGGAGAGAGGCCTTCCTGGGATCACTAGGCAGCCCCTAATAAGAGTTCTAATTCTTCCTTATTTGAATTTTCTAGACTTAGATGCTGCTAATGAATCGCCATGGCAAATCTTTGGGAGACCTTAGCACGTCAGGATTATAATTTGTCTTTTTTTGTGTCTCCTACATAATACCTAAGTTATGATTTTCAATTTCACGAGGGTACAAAAATGCAGGCGGACACCACTCTTTTGATACCGTATTCAGTAAATTACATGAATTATTCAACACTTTCTTACAAAATGAGCTACTGATTGTGATTCTGCTAATGGGCCGCACCGGGAAATGTCCTAGAGGTCACAGTAGGCACGGAGGACGGAGGAGACGCTCGGACCAGCACAGGAAGCTAAGCTACTGCCCTGACGGCCAGTGTCTCTCCCCGGCCCACAGGTCATGCTGCTGGAGAACAGCACCCTTCTGCTGCTGGCCACGGACTTTGCCCAGGGGGCCTTGTGGACGGGACTGTGCACCATGGCCGGGGTGCTGGCCGGATTTCTGATTGGTAAGACCCAGCATGCCTTCCCCTCCGAGCCTCCCCGCCTTGTGCTTCACAGTGGATTCGGAGGGTGGGAAACTGCGCTCAGGAGGGACTGCTGGAGGCACAGCAGAGCCCAGTGTGGCGCTGGGGGAAGCGTCCTCCAGGGGCAGGAGGAGCGGAGCCGAGCCCCAGGGCAGCTGGACTGCGGTACCGCTGGCGAGGGTGAGCTGAGCCAGCCTCTCTGCCAAGGCTGGGCGCTCGTAGGACCGAACACGGGTCAGGCCTCGGGCCATGCTGTCCCGGTGCCGCCCACCCCCCAGGCCGCCGGAGCTCAGCAGGGCCTCCTCTCCAGCACCAGAACCCCACGTCCAGCAGCTCTGCCCACCGCACAGACTCAAGCCGCTCCCCGACTCGGCCTGCAGTGCAGCTGTCCTGGGGTCAGCAGCTCGTCCCACGCAGAGACCCGCAGGTGTCTGCAGCCGCCCTTGGCCCTGAGCTCCTGCCCACCCCACCCTGGGCCTCACCCAGAGGAGTGCGATCGGGCCCGGGGACCCTGATGGACATAGAGCAGCCTGGACTCCATGCTCCGGAGGTGTAGCTGCTCAAGGCGGGAGGAGACCCCGGGAGCCCTGCACCTGGGGCGTACGCGCCTCCCCTCTTCTGTAGCCGACCGGAGCCGTGGCTTGGTAGAGCAGGCCAAAAATTGAATTTTCTCTTTTGAGATAGCCGCAGCTTCAGAAAATAGCAGAGAGAGCTCCCCGTACCTTTACTCAGTTTCCCCAGTGGTCAGACCTCCCAGGACTGTAGAGCAACTTCAGGACCGGAAGCAGCCGCACGCGCGGCCGAGAGGGAGCCGACCCCGTGCAGGGCGCCAGTGGCCCACTCCAGCCGCCTCTCGCCCCGCTCTGCTTTCACGGAGAGAGCCGCGCTCGCCCAGAGGACCCCGCGGGCCTCCGTGTGTAAACCTCGGGCAGGCTGCGGGCACCGGCGCCCCCTGCACGCGGAGAGGCCCCCACCCGAGCGCCCCAGGACGGAGCCCGAGCCTCCCAGCCTGACCCTGACCCCGGGACGCCGCCTGCCTGCTGTTCCCGCGCCCGCCTGCAAGGGGAGCCGCTGCCCAAGCCCAAAGGAAAGCAAGCTGGCCGGCATTGCTGAAAATTAAATTATTTTAGGGATGTGTTCACAATCAAGCAGATTACAGGAAGTCAGTGAACGCTTTTTAAAGAGGCAGATCCGGCTCACAGCCAGGTCCCCTCTTCCCCCGTCAGCCGACTTTCCCTGCACAATGGCCGCGGGGCTGCACCCAGCCCAGGGCAGGCCTGGCCTTGGGGAGCGCTGCCCCTGAGCCTGCTTGCGGGTCCTCCTCAGTCGGGCGTGGGTCACCGTGCCCAGCCTCGGGGGGCTTGCAGTGAGGTGGCGGCGCCCTGCCCAGGGGCCGTGAGGATACAGAGCAGCGTGAGGGCGCAGTGCCTGCTGCAGGGTGGCCCCGAGCGCCAGACTCTGCCTCCCGTCCACGCTCCTGCCCTGCCACCGACCCGGGCCCGGCCCCTGTCCGTCCGCACTGTGCCCGGGACGGGGCCTGGGGCCGCTGGGCTCTCCGCCCTGGCCCTGCGCGCCCTGGCCTGGCTCCGCAGGTTTCTCCCGGCAGGGTTTTCAGGCCGCGAGGTGTTTGTCCAGCACCCTGAACCCAGCACTTCCGTGCAGCAGGAAACTGGAAACAGCGGGGGTGGCTTACGGGAACCTGCTAAAGAGATTATGCGCCGGCAGCGCTTCTGATCAACACAGGGAGCTGACAACAAAGTGATTAGGTTGTTTGCGCGCAGAGGAAGTTGCTGCTGCTCGGGGGAAAGGCCTTGACGTGCGCACTGAACCTGTGCTTTGCTCCCCTTGTTTTTGAGGCTTTCTCACCCTGCCCTCCGGCCCTGGAGTCCCTCGCAGGAGCCCATGGTGGAGCCCAGTGTTTGACCCTGAAACGGAGACAGCAGAGTGAAGTTTCTGTGGGATACCTCACGCGCACGCACGCACACGCGCACATGCGCACTCATACGGAGCTTCAGGACTCCGTAGGAGCTGCCTTCCAGGGAGAAGCCACAGAACCAACAGGAGGCAACTTTGTTATTACAATTCTAAGTTTAGACACGTGGCTTTGCTGTTTATAGAAGCCAGGGTCTCCTTAAATTCCCCTCCAAATCTCCTGCTCTGACGTCCCAAAAAGAATCGTTTTGGTTTTTGAGACAGGGTTTCACTAGGTAGTTCAGGCTGGTTTTAAACTCACTGCATAGCCCAGTCTGGCCTCAAACTCCCAGGGATCCTCCTGCCTCAGCCTCCCAAGTGCTGAGGTGGCAGGCCTGCACCACCACACCCAGCTAAAAATGAAGGTTTTAATTGAGAGCCAATTTATATTGTTCTCCTCGGAAATGGCCACACCTTGTACTCCCGACCATTGAGAGGATGCCGGCTTCCAGGAACATAACTGCGTGCTCTCTCCCTTTCTCAGGCAGCATCTCGCTGGTGGTTTATTACAGCCTGCTACACCCCGAGTCCACAGACATCCGGCAGGGCGTCATGGCGAAGTGCTGTGGCCCAGCAGAGGAAGGCTCTCCAGCCCGACAGAGGCCCAAAAGCCCAGCCTCATGCCCATTGGAGAGCTACAGGCTGCCGAGTCCAGAGCAGCCCCCAAGCCCAAAGCAAGGACCCCCAGGGGCATGGCTGGGGAGCCAGGGTCCGAGGGACCCCTCTCTCCTCAGTCATCACCACTGGCTGCTGGTGAAGCTCGCCCTGAAAACCGGAAACCTGTCCAAGATCCACGCTGCCTTTGGAGATGACGATCCTTCCTGCTCTTGTCCCCCTGAATGGGGGCCAAGTCAGCTCTGCAAGGCACAGCAAGAACCCCCAGCCTCCCCCCAGGACCCTTCAGCCTGGGGGAGAGGCCTCGAGTGGCGAGGTGCCCCCACGGCAGAGGCAGACTCACCAGAAACCTCCAGCTACGTCTCCTTCACCAGTGATGGCCAGGACGGCCCGCTTGCCCAGGGACCACCAGCGACACGGGGCAAGGAGGGTCCTGGCGCTCAGGGGAGGGGTGCGGGTGGGCAGCCCGGAGGATGGGAGGGGTGGCAGAGTGAGACACTGTACTTCAGTGCCACCACGCTGGAGGCCGCGTGCTCACCCTGGGTGGCCCTGCCCAAGAGGGCACAGCAGAGGGGCGGCCCTGCCCAGCCAGCCTCGCCCCGTCCAGGTGCCAGGCCCTTCCCCAGCACTGTGGCAGACATCAGCCCCATCCCTGGCCCAGACCCAGGCAGACATTTCCGCCCCAGCATGGCCCTGCTCGGGGCAGCCAAAGAGGCCCGGGACTGTGGGGAGTGGCGAGTACCAGCCGGGGACCCTGGCCACCCCACCCCTGTGGGCGCACAGGTGTCGCCTGCTGTGCAGCCCTGCCTGACCTCCACCCCAAAGTCGGCGCCGACCCCGTAGGACAGCAGCCACAGGGACAGGTGGAAGCAGGAGCCCAGCTCCCTCGTCTGAGCACAGCCGGCGGGCCACAGCGTCCACCCTGCCACCGCTGCCCTGGGGCCAAGTCTGCACGTCCAAAAACTGAGGGGACAGGGCTGGGGAACCCCAAAACCCCGGCAAACACCACAGCTCACACTCAGGGAGAAGCGGGCCAGGCTGCGGCGGGGAGCGCTCTCAGCTGGGTGAGCCCTGCCTCCGCCCGTGCTGTGGGCTCCGGGAGACGCAAAGGTGAACACAGAGCCCTGTTTTGTCCTGCGTTCTTCTTGTACTTAGCTTTCGTGACACTATGAGTTATTAATCTGTTTTTCTCAGTGTAACCTAAGTGCATTAAATTTTGGAAGCTCTCAGATAAGCAATGCAAGCCCTGTCTGGAAGTGGATGAGAACTTTGCTTACAGCCAACAGGACCTAAAAGGCAGGTGCCATTCTGAGACTGCGCATCTTCCTCACAGCCAGGCTGGTGTTTTTCTGAAGCACCCACTCCTTCCCACGGCCACCCTGCTTCCTGTGTCTCCGAGCTGTGCCCCCCCCCCGTAGCAGGTACAATCCCTGACCTGCGCACCCAGCAGGGAGGGGACGCTTGCCCCTGTCCCCGGAGGCTGTTTTCTCCTAACTCCCCCCCACCCCGAAAGCTGTCCTGGGGGCCATGTCCATCGCTCCTCCAAGCCTTCATCAGTAGCTTGCTAAGGAAGTCCCGTCATCGGCTACCAAGGGAAAGGTACCGGCAGGCGCCTGTGGCTTATCCTCCACAGCCCTCAGGGCCCAGGGCCGTATTCGAATCCTCTCCCCTGTGCGGGCAGAAGGGGACCCGCACGGAGCAGCCCAGGGCACCGCTCGGCTCTGTTCCTTCTGCAGAGGTGGCCACGTGGCTTCAGTGCACACGGGGTTTCAGTGGCAGGAAGCAGCACCGAGTGACTCGGGCCCAGCGGGCATCTCCGGGCGGCTCTGCAGGGAGAGGCTCGAGGTCGACCCAGGATCCGGCCAGGGGTCTCCTAGGGCGGGTGGGAGGTCCGGGGGCACGGGCCCTGCCCGGCGGGCACCACACTCCTCCCCTGCAGATGGGGCCTGACGACAGCACCCAGTCCAAGCGTCCCTTCGCTCGGATTCCGATTCCTGGCCTTAGGGTCCTGGAATTTATCGCAGCAGGAAGTTAATGCGGTTACCAAAGGCTCTGAATTGATAAACCAAGACATGAGGTGTGCTCAAAAACTGCAGAGTGTCTGTGCTTTTAAACGTATCCCAGTAAGGCCTGTTGCCATGACCCCACCCCCCCAGTCCTCCGCCTCCTCGCAGCGCCCTTCCACATCACTCGGGAGTCTCCCTTCGCGAGTCTCCCTTCGCGAGTTTGCTTATTTGCACTGGCCTGGCGCCTCGGTGTCCCGAACTGACCGTTCGCAGGCATTCTGACTTTGGGGAAGAGCCAGAAATGGAGGGTGCGGGCCCAGCGGCGAGGACGCAGCCACCGTCAGGTCCTGACGAGGCTGCCTTTGCCTCGGGTGGCGCTGGGCAGCAGCGCTCGCCGTGCTCTGATCCGAACTCATAAGCCACTGCAGAAGGGCTCTGGAACCGCGGTGGGCAGTGGCGAGAACCGCGGGATCCGTGCGCTCGAAGCGGGGGAGGGCGTGAGGAAGATGGAAGGCAACACGCCCGCCACTGCGATCCGTGGTTAAGACCTAAGCATTGCCTCGAAGGCCCTGCACACACTAATCCAGAAGTACTTTAACCTTCATGCCCCCACGACTGGCTCTGGATCCAGCGGGTCGCTGCCCCTTCTCTCTTGCTGTGAGTCGGGTTGGGCGTGGGGTGGGGAAGGGGACCAGGTCCCTGGCTCTTGCGCTGCCGATCTTTGCTGGGTTTAGACTCTGTTTTCCCGCCTGGCTTTGGGGGCAGGGGAGCCCAGGGCACCGTCAGCAGGCCAGGGTGCCCACGGCATCCTCAGGACCATCAGCTGACCCGGACGGCCCGGGGCACCGTGGCTCCTTTGCTTATCAAGCCGGAGATGTCGAAGCACATTCTGAGTCTCCCTGAATCCTCTCTAGGCCAAATGCTGACTCTTCTAGGGTTTCTTAAGCACCCTGAGAGGACTCTATTTTAAAACTCAGACTGGTTTCTCTCTCTTTAAAATAGACTTTTATTTTGCTGCCTCGCACTGATTCCGTTTTCCACTCTACTCTGGACCACCCACTGTCCTGGCCCCAGAATGGGAGACTTTAGTGCACAAACTGTATCCCCAGCCAGCCGGGGGGGGGGGGGTCACCCTAAACACCTCAGGCCTGTTCGCCTCTCCTACTTCAGTGTAGCCACAGTCAGAGAAGAAAGGAAGCACACGCCGGATAAACGTGTGGGAGGCGATTCAGGCTCCGACGCCTGTCAAGCCAAGCCCTCGCCCGAGAGCCTCACAGAAATCAACCTGACCCATGTCCCCTGGCTACTCCTGAGCCCGAGAGTCAACACAGTCGCTAACCCGAGTTCTACCCCAAACGCCATCGCCCTTTTTGAGTTAAGGTCGCAGGAGGGACTCTCCCCCGAAAGTCCCATGGAAAAGTCCACGCAGATACGTTCGTGACGCAGGACTGTGATCGCAGCACTGCCGTCAGGCTTTCCACCGGACGCGGCCGGAATCCTGGTGGAGCACACTTCTTTCCAGCTGGACTAACATAGGTTTTCCGCCCGTGGCGGGTTGCGATTTGTTTACACATTGGTGAGGCTGGGAGAAGACGAAGCTAGAAACAGAATAAACAGCAGGGATTTTTGTTCTTAGTGTGTCCTTTCAGTTGCAGCTCGGAGAACACAAAACAAAGAGGCTGCCAACCACCCAGCATGGTGTCGTCTCAGCGCTCCGGGAGGGAGGCTGAGGCAGGAGGGGTCACAGGTTCAAGCCCAGCCTGGACAGCTTAGTGACTTAGGGAGTGCCTATCTCAAAATGTAAAAAGGGATAGGCGGGGATGTAGCTCGGTGTAGAGACCCTGAGTTCAAATCCCAATATCACACCCAAAAAATGCAGGGAGAGAGGAGAGCGGGAAAGGAAAGAGAGAGAGAGAGCCGGGGGGGGGGGGGGGGAAAAAAGGGGGGAGGGGGGGGGAAGAAAAAGGGAAGGGGAAGAGGAGGAGGAGGGGAAGGAAAAGAAAGAGCCAAGCAAAGCTGATTAAGGGTATCGTCTGGACTCTAAGATTTCGGATTTTTAAATGACACTTTGTCTTTCGCTTTCTTTTAAAAATGAAGCACTGGGGCCAGGGATTTAGCTCAGTGGTTTCCCTGCCTGCCTTGCAAGCGCAAGGACCCAAGTTCGAACCCCGGTACCAAAAAATAAAATAAAAATGAACCAGTAGATGAAAAGCCAGGATTCGCTTCATCCTGGTGCCGAGGAGAGGCCATCTCTGAGCAGCACACGTGGCCGTCTGTTGGGGGAAGGCCCCGGGAAGCCAAGCGGCTGTGAGGGGCCCTCTTCCTGGGCGTTTCCCAGCCACGCCTGTCCACCACCCGAGTCCTCTCCCTCGGGCAGGGCAGGGCCCTGCGGCTCCTTCTGTCCCAGTCCCTGCTGACTGCCCGCCCTCCAGGGAGGGCAGAGCCGGAGTCCTCCATGTGGTCAGTGTCCACCCGTCCACCTTCGGCACCGGAGGCCATTTGCCCCATGGCGACCCCGACAGGCCCAAAGGGAGAAGGTCTGGCCACAGAGTCCTGGGGGACAGAGCCGCGGGAGCCCTCGCGGGACACGGGCTCACAGGTGAAGCAGCTCCTGAAGCAACGGGCACCGTCCGTCCCGCGCCCGCTCTCTGCGCACACATCCTGGGAACTTGGAGACCTGCGTTTCTCCCACAGTCCGGAGTGGTGCGATTCATCTGCAAGGAGTTGGAAGGACAGAGGCCGGTGCTGAACGCTGCCAGGTTATGGAAACACCCCCCAGCACTTTAAGTCATTCATTTTCAGTAACTTAGCTAAAGGCTTTTCTGGCTCAGCTGTGACCTGGCTTTGGGATCCGTGGCCCATCGCCTGCTCTTGTTCAATTCATGGTGACTGAGCCGCAGTCCTGGGTTGCAGCAGCTCAGGGCGTGTGACAAGGGATGGCACCGACAGGTCACGGGACACCCACGGTGGAGGCCTTGAGGAAGTGGGGGTGTCTCACTGTCCCCTGCGGGTCCCAGCACCCGGAGCCCCGGAACCCACACACTCAGTGCGGTCCCCAGGTGGCGCTGTCCCCGTCCCAGGGCTCCCTGTGACCCCTCACCGGCACTGAGGCTTTGTCCTCTGCAGCTCAAGCTTGGGGTTCGATCCCTGAGCCCCAGGAAGCAGCCACAGGGCTCATGCAAAGTTCACCATGTCCCTGCGTTTCCCAGTTCCTCAGCGGCTTCCTCATCTGCCCTAGCTGGAGCATGAGGGGAGTGTGAGGGAGCTCCAGGCTCCAGTGCAGCTAAGTTATCCACTTTCCATACCTGATGGGAGTCAGTGTTCAGGAAACCCAGCAAGTTCCTCCTGCAGAAGCTGGGGCTTGGTGGACCAAGGACTCAGCCCCTCCTGGGCTTCTTATGCTGCAGGCTGGGGCCGAGGGCCACAGGGGCCCTGGGAGCGGGAGCTGGGTGCCCCTGGCCGGGGTCATCAAGCGACGCTGTCACCTTCAGGGCCTCTCCAGGGACAGAGCTCAGGGATGGGCCTGTGCTGTGGGTCTGCGCCCAGCTCTGGGGAGGCTTTTCATTCTGTGAGCGGAGACAGGGGAGCCGCTGCTCTTCTCCAGAAATGCTCAAAGAAACGAGCCACCAGGCCACGAGCAGAGTGGAGCAAACTCAGCTGCAGATCGCTAGGAGGGAGGAGCTGGTCTGAAACAGCTCCCAAGGTTGACCTTCAGGGAGGGACAGAGGGAGAGGGCAGGGGGACCGTCAGTCCCTCGTCAGGGAAGAACGGGTGGAGGAGGCGGACAGGCGGGGGAGACTGGATGCTCCATGCAAGGTGCACCTCTCACTGTGCCCTGTCCAGATCCAGCGGAGCCCCAGGGCAAACCGTGCCTTGGAGTGACAAAGAGGAGCCTTGCAGGCACCTGGATTGGCACAGATGCCCCCCTGTGGGGCTGTGGACAGTGGCCAGGCTGTGGGTGGAAGGGCTGGGGACATACAGGTGGTCTCCACCTTCTGCTCAGTTTCACTGTGAACTTAAACTGCTTTTAAAAACAAATCTAAGCCAGCCTTAGTGGTGCAAACCTCTAATCCCAGCACTTCGGGAGGCTGAGGCAGGAAGACGGCAAGTTCGAACCCAGCCTGGGCAAGAACGATTTAGTGGGACGCTGTCTCAAACTACGACAGGTCTGGCTGGGGGCGTAGCCCTGTGTGAAGGCCGTGGCTTCAATCTCCAGCACCACAGGAGAATTCTGAGT